CTTAGGATACATTAGCGCAATAAGAACTTTTAATACCTTTTCATGACATAAATTCCCATCTCTAACAGTTATGAAAGAGTTGTCCTTAACAAAGGTACCTGTACCCCATCCAGTAACAGCAGAGGAGGGGAGCATGCAAGACCAGGAGGGTTATTTAAAACTATCTTAACTCCACAGCTTGCCTGTTGCTGCTCCTGACCCCGTGACCACAATACCAAGGAGAGACTGCTACCTTTGGGAAGCTCTGCTGCATCCTCATTCTTTGGCTGGAACTTTCCTAAGCTAGCAGAGTCCCACCTCTGATCATGGCTGGGGATGGGAGGGAATGCAAGTTGGCAGAAGACTGCTCCTGACCTCCGTGACCACAATAACAAGGAGAGACTGCTACCTTTGGGAAGGTCTGCATCCTCATTCTTTGGCTGGAACTTTCCTAAGCTAGCAGAGTCCCACCTCTGATCATGGCTGGGGATGGGAGTGAATGCAAGTTGGCAGAAGTAATAGCAGCTAAGACTGTAACAGTTTTGTCAAAAATACTAGGTGTCCTGGCACACAGGATTTGTCAAGCCCTGTCCTGGTCCCCATCTACTTGTAGTAAAAGGGCCTTCTCAGTTCTAATCTGACATAAAATATAACTTCCAAGAATAGAAACAATACTTGAATACAGCAAAGTGCCATAAGGTAAACAAGGATTTGTGTAGTTGTTCTTAAAAGCAGTTTTCTTACTATTAACGTAATTGAATTGTCTGTTCAGTCTTTAGATGGAAAAGCCATTAAAGTGGAACAGGCTACCAAACCAATGTTTGAAGCCGGTAGACGTGGGCCACCCCATCCAAGGAGCAGAGGCCCTCCCAGAGGTCTTAGAGGTGGAAGAGGTGGAAGTGGAACACGGGGTCCTCCTTCAAGGGGGAGCCATTTGGGTACGTGACTGAATTCCTCCCTGTAACTAGACAATGTATAGAGGTTGCTGTTTGGTAGTATGATAGAAAAATCATTGTGTAAACAAGGAATGGTGTGTTTGGACATTCAAACTGCAGCAACACAAATAAAGAATTTTGTTTACAAAAAAAGAAGTTCATGATACCTTGGTAAGAAATGAGTGAGCCTTTTGTTTCAACTAAAAGGATTGAAAAGTGGTCTTGTATTCACTCTGTTCCCTCCTGGTAGTGCCCAGGAAGAGTGTATGTTGTAGCAATAGAACTAGGAAATTAACCTCATGTTGGTTTGGCAAACTGAAGATTATGCTTAATTGGAGAGCCAATTTGGTGTAGTGGTTAAGTGTGCGGACTCTAATCTGGGAGAACTGGGTTTGATTCCCCATGCCTCCACTTGCAGCTGCTGGATGACCTTGGGCAAACCATAGTTCTGTCAGAGCTGTGCCCTCAAGGACAGTTCTGGAAAGAGCTCTCTCAGCCCTGCCTACCTCACAGGGTGTCTGTTGTGGGGAGGGGAAGGAGTTTGTACATTGCTCTCAGACTCCGAGTGAAGGGCGGGGTATAAATCCAATCTCTTCTTCTTAGATTAAAATTCCAGAAACTTGAGGCAGTTCTCATCATGCAGAGACCTAATTAACTGTAAAAATTGAATGTTTCTTCATGACATTTACTCTCTATGTGTGTGAGAAAGAGAGAGCTGAATTTCTATAATGCTAAATAACCAAGAGCTTGCTACATCATAACTTTGAATCTGTTAGGATAAACTCCACACGTGCTGTTACTACTTCAGAAACAAAACTCTTGAATCTGAAAGCTGTTGACAACTGATAGTGGCTGACTTTAGGTGTTTGTGCTTGTACAGTTTGAGCATAAAACTAAGGCACCTGTTTGAATCTGTTTGTTAGGTCCTAAAATTGGAAGGGGTTTTATAAGCCATCTAGCCAGCCCCTGCTCAGTGTGTGAAATCCAAAGCTATTTTTTTGCTGAAAGATGTTTATCTAGATTTTACTTAAAGTGAGATCTCATAACGTCTACGGCAATTGGTTCCGTTGTTAAGCTGCTCTTCCTGTTAGGAAATTTTATCCTAATACAAATTTACATTCTATAACTTAAGTTCATTGGAAACAGCAGAAAACAAGTCTTCGCCCACTTCAGTGTGGCAACCCTTCATGCATTGGAAGAACGTGATCTGTCTTTACTTGATATTCTGTTTTTAGTCTGAACGTATGTAGTGCATTCAGTCAACCTTAATTGCCATGCCCCACTTAGAAAACCCACTGTTGTTGCACTCCTGGAATTCAGAGCAGATTGTCTAACTTTACTCAGAATAAATTATAAATTGCCTTGCACTTAGCTTAGTAAAATTCATTCTTCACCATGTTTGGGTCACCTGTTGTACAGGAAGTACTATCAGCCCAGCCAACAACATACCTGTCTGCAAGTAGCTATAGAAAAGTTGTCACAGAGCTGAATCTTTTGCCTTCCCTTTTTGTTGCACTGAAATTACCTCAATTTTGTCAAAGGCCCGTTATCTGAATAAATAAAAACTACTACTTAGTTTGGTTATGCAATATTATGTAGTTTGCAAAATACTTGGTTTTATATGTATATTTTTATAGTAATCCTCTTTTAAGGTACTGTTTTATGCCAATAAAGGCTAACTGACTTAGTTTGGCTCCACTGTTTCTGTATTTGAACACCATTGCTTGCCTAAGTGGCTGTGATCCAGTGAAATGGAAGCAGAGTAGAAGCTTGGCACTGGCAGGTTATGAAATGCAGGGAAATTTTGCTTGTATTCCAAGTGCTGAATGAGCCCTTCCTCATTTACAACAGTGATGTCTCCTGTTCCCAATGAGGCAGATCCCTATGAAGGATTTGGTTTCTGCTTTCTTTTCTCTGTTGGATTTGGGAAGCTTGCAAGTGCTGTTCCTGTTACTGAAACTAGATGTACTGTCTAGTTAACCACAACTGCCACTGTTCTAGGTTCTTCCAGGGGCCCTCTTCCAATGAAAAGAGGTCCACCTCCACGCAGTGGGGGCCCACCACCTAAAAGACCTGCTCCTTCAGGACCTGTACGTAGCAGCAGTGGAATGGGAGGCAGAGGTAAGTCTTTCCAAATGTGCGAATGTAATGGGGTGCCCTGTGTTAACTAGTAAAACCAGGAAGCAACTCAATTGAGATGATACCAAGAGGTCCACAGCTCATTGCTGGACTTGGTAGTCCTTGCTTATACTGGTTCTTCATTTAATTTGGTGTGTGGACTGATTAAGGGTGTACATTCAGCAATACCAAGTCAAAAATACCTGGAAAATACTTAATTGGTATTTTCCGGATAATTTTGCAACGGAATATAAAGCTCAGTATTGTCTAAAGCTATCCAAAATGGCTGAGCCTGAAAAATCCCAAAAATATTTGGGTTTTTGGGGGGCTGCCAGATAGCTGGTGTTTAAAGGAATTGTCTTAATTTAAACATCTTCCAGGTGAAATCACTGCTTTGGAGTTTGTAGCTCATTCACGGTACGGCTTGCAAAAGGCATTGAAAGGTTTGGGGAATCCTGAATGTTTACTGAATTCAAATACTATACCGGTATTGGGAATATCAAGCAATACTGATATTTTTGGGGTTCAGTGTACCCAACCTTTTTGCACACCCCTAGGACTGATCCCTTCAGTTGTGTTGCCCTCTGTAAGCGCCCAAACTGAAATTACTTGCTAATTCTAAGACTCTGAAGCCCAGTACAAGATTGGAATCCCCGTTCTTTTTTCCCCACTTTGGTGTACTTTCTAAATGAAGTTTAGGTATCCCTTGTCTTGATGGGGGATTGTTCTCCACTGATGCAGTAAATAAACCGTAATAGCCTACTGTTTGGAACTATCTTTAACCCCTTGGAGTGAACATGTATTTGGTAGGCCACTCCTCTTATGCTACAGAATCTCATGCAACGCCTTTAGAAGTGTTGCAAAGTATAGGAATATGAACCTTGTCTTACTTGGACGTTCTGTTACCAGTTTTGGAGAAATTGAAACAAGTTGAATTCATCCTCTCTTATGTGACTTTGTTTATCTCTTTCTTTCTGAGAGCATGGCTTTATTAAGGCTCTCCTTTCCTCCTTCCTATTCTATGATGATTCAGCAGTTATCTTTTTCTTTGCTCAACCTGGTGGAAAATTTCTGTCAGTTTTACCTTTATTTTCATAAGAGTCACTTTATAATATTTTATTTTGTGTTTAGCACCCCTGTCACGTGGCAGAGACAGTTATGGAGGTCCACCTCGTAGAGAATCACTACCGTCGCGAAGAGATGTCTACTTATCTCCAAGAGATGATGGCTACAGTACTAAAGACAGGTAAAATAAGGTCCTGGGTTTGAAAATTTGTAAGTTATTAAAAGATAAGAAGCTTGGTAGAGTTCTTTGTCACTGTGTTTTCTTTGATAGCAAAAGTAATTTCACTTTCACTTCCTTAGTTATTCAAGTCGAGATTATCCAAGTTCCAGAGACACAAGGGATTATGCTCCACCTCCACGAGATTATGCCTACCGTGATTATGGTCATTCCAGTTCACGTGATGAGTACCCCTCAAGAGGTTACAGGTATCTTCTGTTCAAGTGTTTATGTGAGTCTGTGATAGAATATACAACAAGCTGATCAAGTTTCTTGTAGGCTTGGCAGTTGGTGTTTGCAGCACAGTGGTGGGAGCAAAGTTATAAGAAAGAAATTTGAGGCCATGACTGTACTTGCATGAGACACCATTGATTTGCTAAGAGCAGCTCTAAAAAGCCAGCCAGAGAATGGTGTGAAGGTACATGATCTTCTATGTAGTAGTTCATCTGTGCCTACCTAGGATGGGGTACCTGGGAACCATATGAAAACTTGAGAGAGGGGTATGAACAAAATATTAGAAGTAAGTTGTCTTATAGATTTGTGAGTTATTCCAGGGACAACTTGTACTAAACCTCAGCAGTTATTCCTCTTACAGTGACCGTGATGGCTACGGAGGGCGTGACCGGGACTACTCAGATCACCCAAGTGGAGGCTCCTACAGAGATTCATATGAGAGTTATGGTAAGTGCTTATTTTTAGGGTCTTAAGGAGGTTTAACGCAACTTATTCTTTATTTGCTAGACTGCTTCTGCATGAGGGGGGATTTGAATGCTGGGGTTGCCCACCACAGTGGAGAAAAGTACAGTTATTTTATTTAACAGCACAATTGAATTGCAGTTCCCATAATCTAACGAAGCAAAGTTCATCATTCATGAATTGCACCTATCGCTGGAAAAAAAATGTCTGAGTTTCTTCTGTAAAATTACAAGCTGTTCTGGAATAACCCCAAAAAGAGCTGCCTTGAGAAAAACCGGCGTCTTCAAACAGCCTTTTATTTCATTCAGTGCCCGATACACCCTTGCCAAATGTCCCAACGTGTGAGATTTATATTATAATCTCAGTTAATACAAAAGAGTAACAGAAGCCTTTGATTCAATTTTTAAACTCAGATGTTAAATTGTGGTGATATGATTTATAGTGTTGCCCTATTACCTGACCATTGAACCTGCAGGTAACTCACGTAGTGCTCCACCTACACGAGGGCCCCCTCCATCTTATGGTGGAAGCAGTCGCTATGATGATTACGGGAGCACCCGAGATGGGTATGGTGGAAGTCGAGAAAATTACTCAAGCAGCAGAAGTGATGTCTACTCAAGTGGCCGTGATCGTGTTGGAAGACAAGACAGAGGGCTGCCCCCTTCTATGGAAAGGGGCTATCCTCCTCCACGGGATTCATACAGCAGCTCAAGCCGCGGAGCACCCAGAGGTGGCGGCCGTGGAGGGAGTCGCTCTGATAGAGGTGGAGGCCGAAGCAGATACTAAACCTTTCAAACTATTGGACCAAATCAGTTTTTTCCTCAAACAAATGGAATGTGGAAGTTCTATCTTCACTCCCAGAGGACTACTGAAAAGTTGTTTTTACCTTTTTTTATTGTTGCCTGTTAAGTTCCCCTCCATGACTTATGTTTTTTGTGAGAAAAAGTAAACACTTGTTATTTCATTTCAAAATTGTTAATATTTCTCTCAAAAAGCAGATGTTAATGTATGACATTTGAGCCTGTATTACTTAGTGTTGTAACTTTCACAGTAAACGTTAACCCTAAAATGCCTCACTTCTCACCTCATCAATGAGACCAGCAAACCTAAGGCTCCCCATACAACGTGCAGCCATCTAAAATGGCCATGGATCATTCTACGTATGCAAACATGCCGTTTTTCTAGGCACCATTATAGTTGTTGGAGGGTGGTGGGGATGTGTGCCAGACGTAAATGTTAGTGCCAGAATGCACACAAAAGCTCCCAAATATGAAATTTCTTCAGCCTTGTGTAAAATTCAAGATACCATTCAGTCATTAAATCAAAACAACAAATGGATAATGCTGAATGTGCATTGTGCCTTCCTACGTGTTTCATTTGGGAATTTGCAAGAACCTCATTCCCCCCCAAATAAAATAATAATCTGTAGTAAGCAAGCTACAGAGTTCTGTAAATAAAAGGTTTGACCGGTTCCATCAAAGAAGCTACAAAACAATACTTGCTCTTACTGTTTCAAATTTTTGCAATCCTGTAGTGTCTCATTTTTAAAGGAACATCTTTGACTCCAAAGGCAAAATGGAGAAAATAAGATAAGCAAAGAAGTCTTTCTCTCCAACTTCTGAAAGGCTTATGGCTTCATATTAGCAGTGAAACTTACAGCATTCCACAACAGATTTAAAGCACCAAATGCCTGTGAAACAGCAAAGATGGTAAGCAAAGCAAACTAGTTTTTCAGTCTAAGTCAAAATCAAAACTATCATCTTCCTTGTACGGTAGGATATGCTGTACGTCTTGGCAATGCAAGTTCTGTCTAGATGTAAAGAATACAGCACCCAATGGAAAAACTGTGCTGGATAACTTTAGGCGAAGCCTTCCAAATTCAACATAACCTTATCTTGGATGAAAGTGTGTATGGCACAAAGCTTTTGAAAACGACACTTTAAAAAAGCAGCTCATTGTAGACAAAATCCCTGTAAAGGGGTTGGGAAGGGTTGCTTTTTGCCCAGTGTGTTTCAATGAAGATACTTAACCCAGGCTCGAGGTATATTAAGAAATTAAAACCCTAACATAAACAGAAATTGGCTTAAGTTGCCAAAATCTAGATCATCTTGGGGAATTTCGAGCAAGCCATGGTTACGAACCTGATGTTTAGTTGGATGCCTGATCACTTTTTGTACTGTAGTCTTTTGTGGGGAGTGTTGATACAAAATGGCAGGACCTGTGGCACATTGTCATGACCCAGGTGCAGCCGCGAAGTTCAAAGATGCTCTTGATAAGACTTGAAGACCTCCAACTAAAGTTCCACTGTAGTCCTCAAAATATATTTGCCAATCAACTTATGGATTGACCATGAAAATCACCATTGGAAAGGAAATAAGAATCCATAAGCCATGCAACTTATCACTAAGCCACCAGTTCATTTCCAAGCCAGTGAATCTTCCAGCTCTCAAAGCATTAGAGCTTGAAACAGATTAATCGGCAAACCCAGGCATACCGGTTTGTTTTTTGGGGGGGTAGGGATTATGGGCTTGGGCAGTTTGTGCTATCACTGTTTTTCATATCTTTGTTAACTGTTGCAGGCTGACCATCACCCAAGGAGATATAACCTGAGATGCAGTATGTGACTCGATGGTGGACAACATGGATATTGGCTAAAACAGCTCAGCAGGTGAATCCTAGAGTGGGGCTATAGCTTCAACATAGAATTGAAATTGAAACCAGGTACTGCAAATGTAGAGATTGGATCTTGATGCTTAGAAAAAAACAACCCTCCCAGCAACTTGTGTTTTATTCCAGTAGGAAAAATGCTGATAAGCCAGTAATCAGTTTTTTAATGTTCTCAGTAAGCCTGGTACATGGAGAAGTGAATTGCTGTCATCCTTAAAATAGTCTACAACTTTTCTCGAATTGAGTTGTGCAACAGTTCTTGCTGCTTGAAAAGTTCTGTTTTGGATGTTAAGGCACTCCACTCACTTTGGTTTTCAGAAACTTCTTTAGTTGTGATGCAGAAGCAACTAGCAATGAGCCTGCATTGCAGGGAGGTCGGGGCACAAATGTGATAAATAAACAAACATTGGCTTTCAAGAGTGAGTTTGTGAGTGCAGCCTGCTGCTAAGGTTGTAGCAGCGCGAACTGGAATACCCTTATAATTGATGGCAACCAGAAGGCTCTGTCGGACATTATTACACAGTAGTGTGTTAAGTCCAAGTTGAGACAGGAAGTGCTGTTCGGCATTCTGGAAAGCAATGAATAGAGTAGCTTATTGAGAGGCTATAAACAGATGAGAGAGAACTGGAGCATTCTAAAGAACATAAGAACATAAGAGATGCCAATGTTGGATCAGGCCAAAGGCCCATCCAGTCCAACACTCTGTATCCCACAGTGGCCAGAAATACCAGTGCCATCAGGAGGTCCACCAGTGGGGCCAGGACATTAGAAGCCCTCCCACTGTTGACCCCCCCCAAGCACCAAGATGACAGAGCATCACTTGCCCCAGAGTCCCTATCTTTCCCCCCTTGCTTTGAGGTTGATTCAGATTAATTTACTGATGAGTCAATGATCCCAAGCCAGATTGTAGTTTTATAATTGGCCTCCTTTTCTCCTCTCTTTGGAACAGTGCTGATACGGCATTCTCTTTTTCTTTTAGGTACTTGGTTAATTGTGGATGATGAAGAGTGGATGCCCACAGAGAATGCAGTTGTTGGGCAGGCTTAAAATATGATTACTGACTGAGGAAGACTTTCCAGAGGGAAGTCAATGTGCTGTTGTACATCATGGGCCCAGGAAAGACAACAGGAATCAATCTGACATCTGTGTCCAAAGTACTTGGTTCCCTTTAACAAAGGAATCACCAGCCTCTTCTTTAATGAGAGCTGGTTTGGGGCAATGAAGAATATTGTGAAATTCTTCTATCCCTGTTATGTTACCAAGTCTAGGTCTAGGAAAAGTACCAGAAATGAAGCTGTCAGCTAAACATCACAGAGGAAAACCTTATTTATTTGAAAAAAGCCTAGAGCAGGTCATTTTGCCATCTTTTCTGGGTTTTCTAGGGGATACACTAAATACAGCAGCCAGTGAATTATAATAGCTCTAACAGGTACCACTGTTATAACCCTGCAGACAGTGCATCTCAAAATGTAGTCTGTAGCTGTCTGTTTAGTGGCACTATAAAAATCCCACATTTGGCTCCTGTTAATTGGGAGTGCCTGAAATGTCTGAGACACCTCGTTACCTGAGTCCTTAATGAAACGAATAGCAACGTTCCATATTGTGTAGCTGCAGGTAGCTAAATAGAAAAGAGACTATCCAGTACAGGTAAAGCTAGACAAACCCTGAGTCGGGAGTTGGAAGTTTATCCCTTACACCAGTAGTTCCCAACCGTTTTGGTATGGTGACCCCCCCCCCCTGCCCCCGGTTCAAATTTACTTGGTATGGTAACCCATCTAGGGTTAGCCAAGATTTTTGTCACCCTAGGCAAACTGACTTCAGTAGCAAGCTAGTCAAGCATTCCATTTTTCTCAAGTGGCTAACCAGATATTTTTGCGAAACCAACAAACATTGCACAAAGAGTAGTTCTTCCTATTGTGAACTCCAAGCAAGTGGCATTCCAACATACACAGTCTTTACATATGGAGGTTATGTTCCAGCCTTTGACTATCCCCTCCTCCATTACTCCCTCTACACACCCTCTGAGATTCTAAGAAACTTCCTCTAGTAACCATCAGGATGTGTTTTACTTGATCAACATATACATAACAGTTAAAAAAAACACAACTATTGTATGCTGTGGAAGATACTGTTTCCAGGATCAGATATTGGTTTCCAAAATGCAGAGAGAGCAAGGGGAATGGCAGGGGCAGCCATTTGTGTGGGCTGGCCTACAGCCCACTTTCAGAGGCTTCGCAGCCCACAGGTTTGAAAACACTGCCTTATGCCACTGATATTTAGTCGGTTTCAATAGTGTTTAATAAAGTTATATTTGAATAAATTTCATCATAATAAATGTCTTTTCATCTATATTTGTCATAATTGAAATTACATGCATTTAAGAAACTGAATTTTAAATACTGTTAAATATTAACTTGGTCTATTGCCGTGAACTAAGGAAGCTATGTATTCCTTGTCAGTTTGATTGTATGCTGTGGAAGATACTGTTTCCAGGATCAGATATTGGTTTCCAAAATGCAGAGAGAGCAAGGTTTGGAAACACTGCCTTATGCCACTGATACCTGGGGAAACGGCAGGACTTGCAAATGGCATGATGTTTAGTAGGTTTCAATAGTGTTTAATAAAGTTGTATTTGAATAAATTTCATCATAATAAATGTCTTTTCATCTATATTTGTCATAATTGAAATTACATGCATTTAAGAAACTGAATTTTAAATACTGTTAAATATTAACTTGGTCTATTGCCGTGAACTAAGGAAGCTATGTATTCCTTGTCAGTTTGCATGTGGCTCTTTGGCTGGTTCTGTCTTCACCTGGTCACTAATCTCTGAGCAGATGAGCTAGCACCACACTTCCATTTCTGCCTGTGTTTGAACAAACTAGTGTTATGCACCTCAAAAATGGAGACAGTTTCTAGCCTAAATGTGGTTGGGCGACCCAAATCCCTTCCCTGTGAGCATTTGAGTGAGATCTTTATTCAAGCCAGTGTGTTGAATTTGTAAACCTTTAAGTCAAGAATACTGGCTTCATACGGTACAACAGTGCCCATGCCAAACTCCATTTGATGGAGAATGGTTTCCCATCACTGAGCAAAGTCATATAAAATAAAGGGATTTTTGAGGTCTGACTTTCAAAGCTGAGTATAGTTCATTTGTTCATTGTGTATCGTGGCTAGTGGTATTGCTATTTTGCTGTCTTGTCCAACCCTTAATTTGCATATGTTCATGAGTTGCTGCTTTCTGCTAAGTGATTCCATCCCTGGCTAATAAAACTTGTTTCATATCTTTCTGGAACTCAGGCTTGGATGTCTAAAGTATTCCTCGGGTCTGTGGCAGGACAGTAATGGCTGACAGTTAATGGATTTTTAGGTTGCAGTGGGGAAAGGTTCTCAGTATGGAAGGAAGGAGGGTTAACAAAGGCTAGTGGAGGAATAGGGTGGGAATAGCAATGGCAGTATTATTTTGTCCTTGAAATGCTTACAGACCAATTCTTTGTGTATTCAAAAGTGAGTCTCGGAGTATATCCCATTGAGTTCCAAGTATAAAGAATTGTGATATTTTAAGGATCCTTGATTGGCAGTCTGGCAAGCCAGCATACTCTCTCCCTGGTACTCTTTATGTCAACATCCGTACTTTTGAAGATGGTTCTTTTAGGTCATTTGACTTCAGGAGGCTTGCCAACTAAAATTCTGCTTGTGTTCCCAAAAAGGGATGTCAGTTATCCAGGGCCTTGTTTCAATCTCCCATCAAGTCCAGGTGTTCTAAGTGGAAGTTCCAAGTTTGGTGTTTTGTACTGGGGATTGCTAGTTATTGCATCTGATCAAATCCTATTTTCTAGTGGGTTTGTCAATTATGTTATATGTTGTATGCTACTTTTCCGTAACTTGATGCTGAGCTGAGGAAACCCTACAGAAACAGGTACCAACGATCAATTAGGCGTCAGGCAGAAGTTCTGAAAGGCTTTCCTGAAGAGTGGGTGCCCAGACCTGGATGGGCAGGCTAGCCTGATTTTGTCAGGCCTCAAAAGCTAAGCAGGATCAG